CAATTATCACTGGATATTGCTGCCTTTTAACCGGCTGTGTCTCTCATTAAAAAGGGAGATTAGCAAGTGTGAAAAAAACATTAAGGATCCAGTTAGCACCCAACTGAGACTTCTTAAAGATGTCCAGGCCTGAGGGTGGGAAGAAATCTGGGCAGGTCCTGCCCCAGCTCCGCTCTCTAGCTCCTATCCCAGGGCTGGAGCCCTGCCTTGAGCCAGGATACAGCTTGGGCATTTGAGAATGGCTGCCCTCAGCTAAAATATCGTTACTTTACCAGCCAGACCCTGAGGCTCCTAGAGGAGCAGTACCTCACGGGGGCCCACACCGCAAGTCCTCCCAGGGCAGGACTGGCATCCAGCTCTCCCCACCAGGAGAGTGCCCCTGCTCTGCCACCCCCACCCTTGTCCCATCTTTGCAGCATCGCCATCTATCCCGACAGCGCGGTGATCAGTTGCTGCTTTTCAATAAATCCTTAAAGTCTTAAACTAATGAAAATATGTTTAATCCTTAAATTCTTAAACGAAGGAAAACGTGTTTAATCCTTTAACAACATTTTGTGAAATTCTTAAATTTATTTTTTCAGGTTCTCTTTTTAAATTTTTATCTATAAAAGAAAGTTCCCAGCACCACCACAAGCCTTACAACCATCTCCTGTGACTCTGATGGCAAAACCCACGGAAACGGAACGAGGTGAGTGACTTGTTCTAGGGGCTGTTGCCTCTGTGCCTGGAGCCTGCTCTGCCCTCATGGGAAAGGACCATGAGCAAGGATTGAGCGAGGGGCAGGTGTTCCAGTCAGGGCAGCACCAGTGCAGCCTCTCCTCACCATCATCAACCCAAGCTTTCTCTCATGCCTATTTGAGCCAGGTAATGCCAAGTCCCACCCCACATCTGTACCCAGAAAAGCCAGTGATCCACCTAATGGGGGGGGGGGGGGCATGGCACCATATCTGACCTGTGACCAAGAAGGTACAGGACAGGGCACCCTACTTGTGCTGTGTGACCCCGGGGCAGTACTGCCCTCCCCCCCGCCAGGGCCTCAGTATCCACACTGAGAAAGAAAGGAGTGGTGGGAAAGGAAACAATGAGATCCGATCAAAACATCCCTCATTGCTCTGCTCTGGGTGGGCATTTTCCTAGATTCTCACCTCTCATTCTCCAAGGCAGCCGCCTCCCCAAGGCCACACCCCGCCCAGGGTCTGCTGTCAGGAGGCCTAGAGGCTCCCCTTGGTCCCAGGGAGCAGAGCAGGTAAACAAGTGGGGGATCATAGTGCAGACAAGTCTGGGCCCTGGCTCCCCTGAGCCCCTGGCTGGGCTCCCAGGGCGGGTTGGGGAGCAGCTAGGCCTTTGTCTGGGTTTTCAAAAGCAGAGGACACTGGGTGTCACATTCCGAGGAGGGCAGGAGGCGGGGGTTCCCACCCCGCTGAGGGTGTGGTGGGTCACGGGTGAATCCCTGGAGGAAAGTTGTATATTCAGAAAACACACCCAGTAGGAAGGGCAGGGGAGCTGGACTGGGCAGACCTACAAGTCCAGGCCCCCTGCCCCATGGGGACCTGACCCAGAGCAGGATAACAGCTGTCCCCCCCCCACACACACACATAGTGAGCAGGCTGCCGGGACCCCAGACACCTGCTTCCCACTCCCTGCCCCGGCCAACACACAGTACAACCTCCCGGCGCCCACCTGTGGGAGTGGGGGCGTGGGGCCACCCCGACGCCAGAAAGCAGGACTCTGTCTGAAATGACCGTGCACACTCATTCAGCACCTGCTTGTGCAAGAACCCTGGCCCAGGAACTCTTCCCCTCACCCTCCACAGACCCAGGCCACCCATTCCATTGCAGGCAGGGGTCAGTGCCCTCTTGGCTACACCATCTGGGGCCCTATGTAGGGGGCACTTTCCCGGAGGGGATCAACTCCATGCTCCCTGTTGGAAGGCACCTGGACCTCCAGTCTCACACACCCCAGACCGGAAGCCTGGAGAGAAGGCCCCTCCCTCCAGTGGTAACTCGGGACAACATCTGGCTGCCACCCCCCCCCCCCCCCGTCCCCCCCCCCCCCCCCCTCCGGCCAGGCCCCGGCCTTAACAGGGGCTCTAGACAGCACTCAAGGCCGGTGGGGAGGGCAGCCAGACAGAGGGAGGATTGACCCGTGGGCGCGTCCAGGGCGCAGCGAGCAGCGAGCTCAGGCTGGGGAGTGAGGGGGTGAGGGTGGGGAGGGTGAGCTCAAGGCCTGACCTGTGCAATGGGGAGGGGTCGCTCCATCACCCCAGGGGGCCCACTCAGGAGCCCACAGGTGGCCGAGGCTAGCCCAGGGGGTGCGGGCCGGGCGCGGACAGAAACACGCGCCTCCCCCTCCCAGTGTCCTGGGCTGCCCCCCAGCCGCTCACGCCGGAGTCTCTGTGAGCCCGTGCGCCGCCGGGGTGGGGTAGGGGGAGGTCTCCGGGCCGGCGCTGCCCAGCCCGAGTCTTTCCGGAGCTGAGCTGGGGGTCCCGGAAGCCCCTCGCCACCCCCCTCTCCACGCGGGGGCCGCGACGCTCCCGATGGGGGGCGGTAGAAGAGGCCTCGCCCCTTGCTGGGCCCCCGCCCACAGCCCCCGGCCCCGGCCCGGGCGCGCCTACTCACTCCATTTCCCCGCGGAGGTCCGATTGGGTCGGCGATGCTGAGCCGGGGCGAACTCGGTGGGCGCGCAGGGCGGGAGGAGGGCGGTGGGCTAAGGCCAAGCGACCCGGGCTGCGCGGCGCGGGGGCGTAGGCACCGGCTCCGGCATCGCCCCGCGCGCGGCTGTTTATTGTCCGGGCGGCGGCGGGCGCGGGGGGTGGGCTGAGCGCGCGCGCCGTCGCCGCCGCCACCGCGTTTCTCTGTCGCTCCCCTCCCCGCTCGGTCCCCTCCCACCTCCGGGCGCCGCGGCCGGCGCTGCGCCTCCTGCCGGCCGCCGGCGTTGCCGCAGCGCCCCCATCCCCGCGCGCGGGCTGTGCCCGCAGCCTCCCCGCCGGCGGTGGGCCTGGCTTGGCACCTCCCTGGAGCTGCGCCCCACCCCGCGCCCGGAGTCATTCATCCCTTGTCCCAGGGTTCGGTGCTGGCGGCCAGGCTGGGTCTGTGCGCTAGCCCTAGATTGACCTGGACAAAACCCTGTCCCTCCCAGCGCCCGTTCCAGAAGGGAAGCGGGGGAGGGGAGGCAGGGGGCAAAGGACCAGTGGGACCCCGGGGCGCGGGGTGGGGCCAGGGGGGGGGGGGGGGAGAGTCCGGAGGCCGCTCCGAGGAGCTGCCGCCTCTGCTGCAGCCTGGCGGTCTGGAAGAGGAGCGTTCAGGTGGAGGGCACTGCAAGTGCAAAGGCGGGGCCGTGGGACCAAGCCAGGCCCGGCTGAGGAGGAATGATAATAACACAGCAATTCCTTAAGCTTCTGAGCACTTGCTGGGCGCTGGTCCTGGAGTTGGAGTTGGAGGAGGGTAAATGATTTAAATCTGCCTCAGCTCTCACAGCACACACTGCAGGCCTCTGTAGCCAGGATGAGTGAGGTGGCTAGAGGAGGGAGCAAGGAGAGCTCAGGCTTTGTCTTGAGGGCACTAGGGAGCCACAGCAGAGTTTAGAGCAGGAGAGGGACCAGCCTGATTTATTTTTGTGGTGGCCCCTCTGGCTGCCAGGTGGGGAGCGAATTAACAAGGGCAAAGCGGAGAGGCTTGGAGGCCTGGCAGAGGCTGAACTGGGACCCCCCTCAGGCTGAATAAGATTGAGAGGCAGGTGGATTGTGGACGGATCTTGAAGGGAGAGCTGACAGGATTGCTACCGACGGGTTGTGGGATGACAGGCATTGGAGTCTCCCCATTTCCAGATTGAGCCACTGGAAGGGACATATTAACATGATGGGGTTGGGAGGGACAACAAAGGGTGACGTTGGGTGGGCAGCTGGCCGTCCAGGTTTAGGGTGAGGCCCGGGCTGAGCTAGGGGAAGTCTGGACAAGATCATGTGAGAAGCAGGCACAGGCAGAAGACAGAGGCAACCAGTTCCCCTGCCTTCCCCTTGATTCCTTGCAGGCTATCTTGAGTCCTTCATGCTGCATGTGTCACGGTGTGAATCCCACAGACTAGGAGAGAGGCAGGACCTGTCACTGCCAACATGTAGACTGCGGCCATGACTTACCAGGTTCTTATAAGAACTCTAGTCCCCTGGCCCCAAACACACTTACTTACTGGGGTCTGGCTGGGGGGAGGGCAGGGAAGAGAGATTCTTCTAAAACCCTTCTAAACTATTTTCCTTTAAGTAAAATAGTTCTACTCAGCAGGTGCTTAATAAACGGATGTGTGTGCAAAGGGAAATAGCTTTGGATGGGCCCTAGAGAAGCATTAGGCTCACCCTAGAGGGGACAGGGACACTGCCACCTCTTTGTTTATAGGCCTTTTCATCTCCTCCTTTCTACAATAAATGTGCATTCATTTAGGATTAAAATAATGAGATAAATTAGCAAACTTAAAAAAAAAAAAAGACCCAGAGAAACATCAGGGGCCCTGGGCTTGAGTCCCAGCTCAGAGCCTCATGTGCTGTGTGACCCTGGGTCTGTTTCTTAACCTCTCTGAGCCTCATTTCTCCATCTCCTACGGCAGCTGGGAGGGTTAACAGAGTGAACACACAGGAAGGGCTTGGGACAGGGTGCAGCACACAGTAGCACAGGGTTTGGCAAACTACTCCTATAAAGGGCCAGATAATAAATATTTTCAGCATTGCAGCCGCAGGTCTTCCATTGCAACATGAAAGCAGCCAGAGGCAATATTTAGTACATGTATTGCTCAGCAAAAGGAAGCTGTGAGTAATTCCATCGCTGCCCCTCTGTCTCTGTGTTCACTCAGTCCAAAAGATTTATTGAGCACCTACTGGGCACCCAGCAGTGTTAGGTGCCAGATATGCAGGAATCTTATCCTCAGAGAAATGGCATTTTTTTGGTCTACTAAGTAAATGATTCAAGGTTTTAGGGATGCTGGATGCATTTTGTTTAAAAATAGGAAGAAGAGTGCTGGCTTGGGCAACACATGTGCTAAAATTGGAAGGATACCGAGAAAATTAGCATGGCCCCTGTGCAAGGATGACAAGTAAATTCAAGAAGTATTTTTTTAAAAAAGGAGCCCGTCAGGTGTGGCTCAGTGGTTGAGCATTGACCTATGAACCAGGAGGTCATGGTTAGGGCACATGCCCGGGTTGCCCAGTAGGGGGCGTGCAAGAAGCAGCAGATCAACGATTCTCTCTCATCACTGAGGTTTCTAGCTCTCTCTCCCTCTCCCTTCCTCTCTGAAATCAATACAAATATTTTTTTTAAAAGAAAGAAAATAGGAGGATGGAGAGGGACTGTTGGCAGCATCTCCCCTCCCACAAAACATATACATCTTTCTCAGCCTTAAACTTTCCAAGGCTCCCACCTCCTTCACATCAAAAGTCAAATTCCTTCCCACAACTCTCAAGGCCCTGCCTGGGAGCCCCAAGACCTCAACATCCACACCCCAGACTCAGGCATGCAGGCAGTTGCTTCCTAGAGGTAGTGACACATGAGCTGGGGAAATCAAGTCAGGCAGAGATGGTCGGGAGAAGCAGCCCAAGTAGCAGGGACAGCCCCCCAAAAGATGGGACAAGGCAGGGTGTGTCCTGAACTAGCGCACTGGGCTTGAGTTGACCTTTCACCCTCCAGAGAGGCGGCCACATCACCCAGTCCTCAATCCTCTGCTCAGTGTGCTGCAGCTCCCATCCCGCTGGGGCCACGCCCCCTTCCTGTACCACTTGCAACCACGGCTGCCATGATGATGCCTCTTCTCCTTCCGCCTCCTTAGCCACCTCTGCCCAGCACCCCTACCCCTGCTTTGAACCCACCTCACAGCTTGGCTGCTCCGGGACATCCTCTGGGGCCCTTGGACTCCAGGGGAAGTTTCACACTGGCCTCTGTGCAGGCCCCAAAAGCCCACTCCTCCTCTATCCCTGAGTCATAGATCCCTTTCCCTCCCTCTAGCCCTGACTTCAGCTCAGGCCTGTGTCTCCCACCCAGAAGGGGCCAAGGAGGTGTAAGCTAAACATGAGAGGGACTGTATCCCAGAAAAAAAGGGGCTCGAGCTTCCCCACCCCAGCTGTATAACCCCAACCCTTGGGCCCAGCTAGGTCAGGCCCTTTACAGAGCAGCATGCCAGAGCCCCGACTCCTGCTGTCTTCCTGGCCTGTTCCATGGCCCTGGGATCCCCAGCCTTCACAGGTGAGGGGAATGAGGACCTGATGGGGCTACCCAGCTCTGGCTGGTTCAGCATTGGTCCATCTACAGATCAGCAGAACCCAAAGTCACTCCCCAGGAGGGCTTGTGTCCTCTGCACCTGGGAATTCTCAGAAAAGAAATTAATATGACCATGAATCAATCTCCTCAACATATAAAGAGCTCTAACAAATTAATAATAAAAGTAGGGCCCTAGCTGGTTTGGCTCAGTGGATAGAGCATCGGCCTGCAGACTGAAGAGTCCTGGGTTCATTCCAGTTAAGTGCACATGCCCAGGTTTCGGGCTGGATCCCCAGTAGGGGGCACACAGGAGGCGGCCAATCAATGATTCTCTCTCATCATTGATGTTTCTATCTCTCTCTCCCTCTCCTTTCCTCTCTGAAATCAATAAAGATATTTTTTAAAATATATTTTATTGATCTTAGAGAGGAAGGGCGAGGGAGAGAGAGATAGAAACATCAATGATGAGAGAGAATCATTGATCGGCTGCCTCCTGCGTGCCCCTTACTGGGGATCGAGCCAGCAGCCTAGGCATGTGCCCTTGGCTGGAATCGAACCTGGGACCCTTCAGTCCACAGGCCAATGCTCTACCCATTGAGCAAAACCAGCTAGGGCAATAAAAATATTTTTTTTATAAAAAAATAATAAAAGTATAGTGTTTGGTAAAGGGCGCCATTATTATCATTATTATTGCTATCATCATTGTCACTGCTGTTGTTGCGTCTGCTCTGACTGGGAAAGCCACCCAAGTCCTCCATGGGAAGAACAGTCAAGGACTATAGCCCAAGAGTTCTGGGCTCATGACCACCTTCCAGGCAGCCCCAAACAAACCAGACTCCCCTCTCTGCACCTCAGGTTGGAAAATGGAAATATCGACCCCCATCCAGCCCATTTTGCAGGGCTTCTGGGAACTTGGTTAGTGGGGACCATGAAGGACAGTTGTCTGTTTCACAACTGCTCATCAGATGGGAAGGAAATGGGCCTGGCTGTGGGTAGAACTGGCCCCTGGCAGGAGCAATAGGAGCTGTCCTGAGGCTGCAACCCTGGCCTCTCACTCCTTCTCTGTGCCTCAGTTTCTCCATCTGTAGCATGGGGATAGAAACAATACCGACATTCTCGGGTCACTCCAGAACTAAATGAGGTTCCACACACCTGCAGCTTCAGTGATGCTTATACCAACCCCCCAAGGGTGTGTGGTTGGGGGAACTGACCAAGGTCTGGGGACAGATGCTGGATAAACTGAAGCACAGAGAGGGTAAGTGACCTCCAGGGCCCCAGGGACTGGTGGAGCCAGGGTATGCCTGGGCAGGCAGCCCCCTGCTCCCCCCACTGCTGTTTCCTCCTGTGCAATTATGATCAACAACCCCAAGGCCGTCAAATCATCGGTTTCCCACTATCACCAGCTCAGATCTGAGCGTTGCTGGTGGGGCCTGAAGGGGCCTCCAACCACAGACCACAGCTGAGTTCCCCCTTTCCAGGCCGTTGGGTGAGGGTAGGTGCCTTGGTCCTCAAAGCTCTCAGGGAGACTTTAGCCTTGAGAAGTCTGGGGCCATGGGGCCTGGGGCAGAGGGCTGGGACCAACTTTTGCTGACTATGGCCACTGCTCTGATGATGTCCATGAGGCTTCCAGGTAAGGACCCCCAGGAGTCCCCATATAGAGGCCCCATCAGGAACTCCCCAGGTGCCCCAAGGGCCCCTACCAGGCCCACCCCAGAAAATGCTGAGGTACCCCACACACGGGCCCCGACTTGGTTCAGCTACACAACCCCTGGCTGCTCTCTCTCTAGGGCCTCTCCAGGCAATGGGGTGGGAGGCCCAGCTGGGATCTTGCCCAGGCACAGGTGCAGGCCCAGGCCCAAGTTTTCTGGGGTCCAGTCCTCCTCCTGGCACATTCAAGGGCCTTCTCTGGGCTCCTTGTCACTCACTCTGTGTCCTTCTGCGTTTCTCTTTCTATCTCTGTCTCTCTCTATCTCTGACTCTTTGTCCCTCAACTTGACCCCCATTCTACCCAGTGCCTAAGCTGCCCCCATTAACCCATCTTCTGCCCTTCTCAACATACCCCTCCGCCCCTCTGCAGGCTCCTGGGGGGCTAGGATCATTGGGGGCCGAGAGGTGACCCCGCACTCCCGTCCCTACATGGCATCGGTGAGCTTTGAGGGCCAGCATCACTGCGGTGGCTTCCTGCTCCGTGCCCGCTGGGTGGTCTCAGCTGCCCACTGCCTCATTGACAGGTGAGCCCACCTGGGGGTCCCCCTCCTGCTTGCTGCCACTGGGGGCCCCAGAATGCTCTGGCTATATTTCAAGGGTGGGAGTGGGGAGGGGTGTTCCTGGTGTGGGCATTGCTACATTCCAGATGGGGGAAGGGTTGGGATGGCCAGACCCCACCCCCTTCCCTGGGGGTCTCTTGCAGGAGGAGGCATCTCTGGGGCCAGCTTTATGGGACAACAAAGGGGAAAAGTGGGACCACCCCCACCTTGTCAAGGATCCTCCATGATAATAAGTAGATGTTATCATCGCTGTGCTGGGTTTATAATCTACCTATACATATAAAAGCCTAAGCGACCAAACGACCTGTCGCCTGGTCGCTATGACACGCACTGACCACCAGGGGGCAGACGCTCAATGCAGGAGCTGCCCCCTGGTGGTCAATGTGCTCCCACAATGGGAGCGCCACTCAGCTGACCCATGGGTGCCAGAAGCAGGGCTCACGGATGGGGACTGACTGGGCTTGAGCCAGTGGCAGGCACGTGGGGCCAGGATGAGTGGGAGTGGGCAGGCAGGAGTGGCAGATGGCATTGGACTGCCAGTTTCGGCACAATCCCCACAGCCCACAGCGAGGACCCGACCAGTGCATGAATCCATGCACCAGATCCCTAGTAATTAATAACATTAACAATGAAATTATTGAAAAAAGAAAATTTCCTCCACCTTTCTATGTTCTTCCAGATGGCCTGATAATTAAATCTACATGAGACAGTTTAACAAAGGAAAATAATCAAATTTAATGCATACATACATGTGGATGGCCCACATACATGAGGGAGTCAGAGCCCCCACATCCATGAGAGGTTCAGGAACAGAAAGGACAGATGAGGTATCTATGTCACCAGAGCTAGGGATGAGGCATCAGCGGGAAGAAGGGTCATCCTCAAGGCCTTCAGTAATTAGAAGCTTGCCCTGCCCTCCAGATAGGTCATAAAACGTTATCTTTGGTGGTAACTCTCATTATGGGCCAGGCCCCCAATTTAGACTCATGTAGGTGGTTAAGCAAGAGATAGAAGTTTCTTGTGAGCCCAGAGGGTCTTGATGGCCTTCAGCTCAAAATAATCCACATGTCAGTCTGGCCAGTGTGGCTTAGTGGTTGAGCTTCGATCTATGAACCAGGAGGTCATGGTTGGATCCCCAGTCAGGCACATATCTGGGTTGCAGGCTCGATATCCAGTAGGGGGCGTGCAGGAGGCAGTCGATCAATGATTCTCTCTCATCGTTGATGTTTCTCTCTCTCCCTCTCCCTTCCTCTCTCTGAAATCAATTAAAAAAAAAAAAAATCCCAATGCTAAAGGGGCACATCTTGGGGAGGCATGTCCTGAACCTCCTCAGAGATAATGTTATAATTGAGGTGGGAATTATAATAAATATAAAAATATTCAATTCGTCCTAAATATAGCTTAGTTATTAGAATTAGTATTGCGATATTAGCATTAATACTGTAATTGAGGTGGGAATGAAACAAACATAATTATCATCACAGGGTTGACATCAAGGTTAAGTGGGTTGCCGTGCACCAGTTTTGCCAATGGGGCTACCAAAGCCTGTGCCAGGCAGCCTTACCCCGGTCTCCCTCACTATACCCCTCCCCACTGCAGAGACCCACGAACAGTCCGGGTGGTGCTGGGGGCTCACAACATTCGCACCTCGGAGCCCACCCAGCAGGTGTTCAGCGTCTCAGCTGTCGTCAGGCACCCTGACTACCAGCCCACAACCCACGCCAATGACATCTGCCTGCTGCAGGTGAGCTTCACGGGGAGGAACACTGGATGTAAGTCTGACCTGTCCCCGCTACTCCCATGATGACTGAACCTGTTTTAAAATAGCTGAAGGATCCTGAAACACCTGAGTCAGGTGAAGTCTTTGCTCAAATGTCCCCTTCTCGGGAGACCTTCTCTGATGACCCCCTCATCCTGCAACCTGCCCCTGTCCTGCTGTCCCTTCTCCCTGTTCCACCTTTCTTATGTCCAGCACGACTGTCACCTGCTAGCAGCACCTGCACATTTGCTGCTTCACCATTGTTCACTGCCTCCTCTGGACCTGAGGGCAGGGATTTTTGCCTCCTTTATGACCGTTCATTGCTCACAGCAGGTGCTCAATGTTCAGGCTGGCAGGGGGAACAAACGGGGCACTAGGGCCACGAAAGACCTCAATTCCCTGCTACTTGGGCCCTTCCTGGGGCTTTCTGGCCAGGAAGTGGCTTCACCCATAAATGTGAATTTCCCTCTGCTTCCCCATGGGGTGTGTCCTTTACAACTACCCCCCTGCAGTTCCTACCCAGGCACCCCAAATTCAACTCCAGGAACCCCCAGGGCCTCTGTTTCAAAGGGAGAATGCCCCAAACTTGCCCTCCAAATGTGTTGAAAAGTTAAAAGGGGGAGATACTCAATATGACTGGATGGATCCCGGGGAACAGGAAGGTCAGGGTTATGGGGTTCTCTTGGCAAATAAAAGGGGGGCAGTGGATGTCAGCAGCCAACGCCTGGATTTTACTCACCTGTGGAACCCCAAAGCTTGGAACCCACTGCTCTGACTCACCCATCCCATTGTGCAGATGGGGAAACTGAGGTTGGGGTGGTCAGCGATGTGCCCAAGGTCAGGGGGTGTGTACCAAAATTAGGGGCCCACGTCATTCATTCCAAAACTGTTGATTGAGTGCCAGCTGTGTGCCGGTCAGCAGGGACACAGCCAGGAACAAGCCATGGGGCTGACCCCCTTAAAGCCTTCAGTCTAACCGGGTGGCAGCTGGGTATCTGGCCATGACAGGGGCACATGGCTGCCCAGAGGAGGCACCAGGCTTAGCCTGGGAGTCTTGGAGAGCTTCCTGGAGAAGGTGGTGTCTAAGCTGGATAGGAAAGGTGCTCCAGGTGGGGGATACAGTATGAGCAAAAGTGTGGGGGTGGGCCCAGGACATGACAGTAAATTTATTCTGGCTAGAGGGGGGGAATTAATGGGGGGCAAGCATTTTATTCCAAGGGCAATAAAGGAGCAATGGGAGTGCTTAGAGCAGGGAAGGAGATGCTGTTTAGAAAGACCATTTGGGTTGAGTGGGTAAGGGCTGATGGACAGGGGGCATGTGGTGGCAAAGCAGTGGGCCTTCTGAAAGCCATTGCTTTCTCTCCATAAGGCCAAGAGATCAGGTGTCACAGGTGGGTAAACTGAGGCAGGAGCAGTGGTGATGGTTTGGGTGGTCCAAAACTCAGTGTTCTCCCCGTAGCTGAACAGCTCTGCCATCCTGGGTCCTGCAGTGGGGCTGCTGAGGCTGCCCCAAAGGGGCACCAGGCCACCCAGGGCCGGGACGAGGTGCCATGTGGCCGGCTGGGGCTCTGTGTCCAACTTTGAGGACTTGCCACCTGGGCTGATGGAGGCCGAGGTCCGCATGCTGGGCCTGGACGTCTGCAATAGCTCCTGGAAGGGCCAGCTCAGCCCTGCCATGGTCTGCACCCAGAGTGGGGACCGACGGCGGCGAGGCTTCTGCTCGGTAAGATATTCATTGTCCGTCCCTCCCACTTACCACATGGGGGGACCAAGGCTCACAGAGAAGGGTCAGAGCTGGGCAGAGCCTTGGGAACCAAGTCCAGCTTACCCTAGACCAGACCATGTATGACTGTGCCGTGCACAAAGAGCTACAGATTTGTGTATTTATAAACAGGATCCAGTACAGGCGGTAACAGATCTCCAGGAAGGAGCTCCTGCTCCTAATACCCTGACCCTGGTGCAGAGGAAGAAACTCAGCCTGGAGGGTCTTTTGTTTTAGGCAAGAGAGTCCAATGGTTCAGAACACAGGTTCTGGAGCCCAACTGCCTGGGCCCAAGTCCAGACTGTGCCACTTTCTAGGCCTTGGAAAAGTCGCTTCACTTCTCTGGACCTCACTCCATCTTCTCTATCTATATAGAACTGCCACTCAGAGGAGCAGAGCTAATTCCAGATGACAATTAGGGTGCTAGGGCCAGGAGGGGAGGGGAGAGGAGGAAACAGGAGTTTTAGGGTGACTATTCAGAAGGCTTCTCTGAGGAGAGCACCTTTGAGCTGAGACTTGAAGCAGCCTTAAGATCTGAGGGAAGGCATGACAGGCAGAGAGACAGTCACAGGACTGCCATGCACAGCTGTTCAGGTCTGTACTGCACAAACAGCTGCAGAATTCTGTTTATACAAGCAGTGTCCAGTAGGGGACAGTAACAGGTCTCAAAGACACGCGGAAGCTTAGTGGCTGATGAAGCTTGGCTTGCTCTAGGAAGAGCCAGGAAGGCTGGTGTGGCTGGAACCAGATGAGTGAGGGAGAGAGATGTGGGCAGGATCCTCAGGGTCTTGAAGGCTGAGGTGAGGGTTTAAGAGCACTCAGGGGTCGTGGAAGGATTTTGAGGGCAGGAAAGGGTCCTGGTGGGCGTTACATGTAGAAGCTCCTTCAGGCAAAGTGAGGCTGAGAGAAGAACCCCTGAGCTCACCTTTCCCTTCATCCCCCAGGCGGACTCCGGGGGGCCCCTGGTGTGCAGGAACCTGGCCCATGGCCTCGTTTCCTTCTCTGGCCTCTGGTGTGGCGACCCCAAGACCCCAGATGTATACACACAGGTGTCTGCTTTCGTGACCTGGATCTGGGGTGTGGTTCGGCAGCGACCCCACAGCCCCCAACTCAGCTCCTCACCCAGGACCACTGGGGCCCCCACAGGAGCTTCCTGAACCACAGCAGCACGGTGTACCCAAATGAGATGACAACCGATGCAAACAGTTCTGGCCTGGAAGATTCTATGGCTGGGGCAGGGGGTCCACAGAACCTTCCAGGGAGCTTGGAGGGTGGGTGGGCATAAATTCCAAACAAAAAGGGCCAGAATATCTGAATAAAATGTTAACTGACAACCAGACATGATGGTCTACCCACATCCCTTGAGTTTCTTCTTGGCCTCAAGGTGGCTGAGGGTCCAGATGAGCCACTTCCTCCCTTGGTCGCCTTTCTCTTCCACCCACTCCCACCACCACTCTACCTGTCTCAGCCCTCTCCCTGGGTGCTGCCCACTGCCAGAGCTAGACACTGAGGCCAAGATGGACAGTGGCTGCCCCAAGGACATATGCTCATGCTCTTCCAGATGCTTCCTGAGCCCCCACTTACTACCCTAATAGTAACCCAGGCTCCAGACTAGTGCCCTCTACCAAAGTGGGCAGCACAGAGGCTCAGAGAGAGAGTAGACCAGGAATTGACCCCAAGTAGCTTTTTACAATCTTTATTTCTTTGGTGAGGCAGGACCCCAGGGCGGGGAAAATTGCCTGATTGGGTGGCTTGGGCAAACTCACCTACTCAAGGACACTTTTCTGGGTGACATAGGTAAGGCACTTCCTGGGGGCTGGGAGAGGGTGGGCACACTGCCCCCTGAGCTCCTTGCCCCAAACTTGAGGAGCTGAATTCCCATATCGGGTCTGATCCTCTGGTCTACACAAAGGCACAAGGAGGTGGCATTGAGTGACAGCCCAGGAATGCAGGGAATTGGCCCTAGGCTGGGGTTGAGACCCCTGAGCCTAGCTGCTGGGCAATGAGGGTTCACCTAGGAACTGGGCCTAGAGACCCAAGGGTAGGCCTCATGATACCAAGGGGTCCTGTGTCTGGACCTCACCTGTGGACGGGTCAGCAGGCACTAGGGGTGCTGTTCAGACACGTAGCTCCAGGAGGCCAGGTGTGCAGTGGGCCTTGGTGTCTATATCCCACCGGATGAGTAGGGGCTCCTGGGCCCCAGGAGATCTCACCCGAAGTGGATTGGGCCCTGTTCTGAGCTAATGCTGAGCTGAGGCCTATGTCAGGAGGCACAGACAGTGCCTCCCTGACAAGGGGATAAGCTGGGCTTTTCTCAGGGGCCTTTACAGGACCTACTGGGTACATGGAGGCAGTGGGGAAGGAAAGCCCTGAATACTTGGGTTGGTAGGGGACAGACTGCTTCCTTGACCTGTCCGGGGTTCTGAGCATGTTCTGAGGTCCATGTATATGGCACCCAGGTTGTGGACCCCTCCCCATCCCTTGGTTTCTGTTCTAGAAGGCTAGGGTGCCTTTTCATTAATTGCTGGCAGAGAACTCTCAGACCTCTCAGTGGCAGTGATAATTAATAATTCCAGAGGGAACAGAAGCAGGGTCGTCTTGAACAGTAGTAGGGTGTTTGGGGTGGAGGGTTCCCCTACCAGCACTGCTCCCAGGCCTCCTCCCACCAATTCTTCCAAGATATGGTTGGGGGGAAGGGTCCAGGGCTCCCGCAAGTGGTCCGGTCCTGGCTCTGGGGAGTGTCCATGGGACATAAATTAGGCTTTGCTCTGGCAATAAATAAAATGGGGGAGGCCTTGAACGCCAGGCCCAGGCCACCCTGTTAAGTCACACAAAGTTCTCCTCTTCTTCCTCCGACTCAACATCTGCTGGCTCAGGGGTGCCTGCTGAGTAGGAGGGACGAACAGAGAAATGGGGGTACGGAGAGGGGCTGGGGCCTACAGCCCACCACTGCTCCCCGCTCCGCCCCGCACCTGCGCAGCTGCCCGGGTGTCGCACGCCAATGGAACGGCCCAGGAAGCAGGTGGCCTGGCGGAGGTGGCACGAAGACATGTAGGTGACGTTGTTGTTGCCGCAGAGTTCCTGGCCAGGGCTGGAGGGCGCGGGGCAGGGCGCAGCGCGACACATCACGCAGTGGGCACTGCCTGTCTGGTCCACCACGCACGACTGTGGCCGCTGGCACACCACGTGCGCGCAGGACTCTGTGGATAGGGCGCCAGGGCGGGTCAGGGGCGCCACCTGGAGGACGAACCCCGCCCACAACACTGAGGGCACCCTCAGGCCCGCCTCCTCGGTTGTAGCAGAAGCCCAACCCCTTCAACGAGACCTCGCCCACAGCCCAAGTCCACCCTCAAGCCCCGTCCCCTCTTATTGCACCCTCAAGCCCCTGAGTCACGCACCCATACTTCTCACCCCACGTGAGCCCCAGAACCCCTTTCCAAACTTCCACCCTACTCTTCCTTATTCTCGATCCCACAAAGACCCAATCCACTGACGCTTTCCCAGCAGCATGAAGACTCCCTTTATTAGACTCCGCCCACGACCTCGCCACCTAGGCCCCGCCCACCATAAGCCCGGCCCCAACCCTCAAGACCTCTACCTACACCGCTAGGCACGACGCACCGGAGGCCCCGCCCTCCCGCAGGCCCCGCCCCCTGCACTGCGGCCCGGGTACGGAGGCGCCCGCCCGGTGGCTCCACCCCCAGAAGGCCCCGCCCCAACGTACTGCGGCAGCGGCCCCTGTACATGACGCGCAGGTCTGGGTGGCCGCGGCAGCGCGCTGCGCGCAGCTCGCACTCGTCACGGTAGGTGGCGCCGTCGGAGCCGCAGACCTGTAGGCGCGCCGGGAGCTCCTCGCAGTCCGGGGTGCACTCGCAGCGCGGGCGGCCCCCCAGCATGCGGCACGCCTTGCCGGGGCCGCACTCCACGCCCTCGCACGAATCTGCGGACACAGGACGTGCGCCCGTGGGCTGGGGCTCGTGGCCGTGGCCAGAGGTCTTCTGAGTCCACGGCGCCTCGCCCCCTTTTCTGAGGGCTAGCGGCCGGGCCGGAGTGGGGGACTGTCCGAAGTCGGGGCGCACGGCGAGGATACTGAGTCGGGGTCGGGGTGCGGGTCGGTTGTGGGAGAGAGTCAGCCACTGTCCTGGTGAGCGCCTGGGGCTGGGGGCTGTGTCTGGAGGCGGGCCTCAGTGTGGGCGGGAAGGGCGTCTCTGCCCCAATCTTGGGGTCCAGCCCGCGCTACTGACGTCTGTTCCCTGACTCGACTCGCGTTTCTGGGCAGGCCGGCGGGAGGCCCTGCTGCGTCAGCCCGGGGGTAGGGTGGGGGGCTCCACCCCATCCAGGCAGTGTCCTTGCCCCATGCCTGCCAGAACCTCCCCAGAGGAGGGGACAGGGAGGGCGGGGCGTTGGCGCCTGGCATGAGGCTCACTTCCTGGGGAGCGGGCCTCTGAACTGGGAGTTACCCACCCCTCGCAGCCCCATTTCTCAGGTAGGGAAACAGGTCTGACCAGGGGAAGTCTGCCTCTTGGGTCCCTGCCCCTGTTCAGGCCCCGTCCTTTGGAAATGCAAATCAGACCCCACTAATGGCTGCTCCTGCCTCTCAGGCTCTCCCAGGCTCATTGCAGCCTCCCAACCACTGAACGAGGTCATGCTGCTTGGAAAATTGAGGCCCCTCACTGCTGTGAGTGGAGAAGAGCCAGGAGCACCTCAGCATAGCTCCAGGCCAGATCCTGGATGGACACTCCACCCCCCCCAACCTCCCAACCCCAACAACTCAGCTCTGTTGCTGGTGGGTCTGGAGGGCAGACTCCGAGCCAAGTTTACACTCTAGCCTCAGTTTCCCTGTGTACAGAGTGGGGCTGATGGGGGAACCCACCTTACAGGATAAAATAAGTGGATGCTACTACTAAGAGAATGCACTGCGCCCCCACATTGGTTACCCATGCCAGGGCATGTGGGCTGCACCTGGGCGCCGACCGCCCACATACACATCTGGAAATGTTCTGCCTGTGTGGCTTCATACAAGAGGGAGAAGTGGGGGCTGAGTTCCTGTCCCCAAGGCCAGAATGGGGGGTGGGGTCCTGGACCATCTCATGTCCAGGCCAGGCATTTTTTTGAAGTCTGTCCTCCTCCCAGAAGCCAAAGGGGGTTCTAGAGTGAGCCAGGGTACATGGTGTTGACTTTAGGACCACCCAGCCAGGCTGATCTGGGATTAATCACATCTCAGAGCTCAGCCAGGCTCCTCAGCTTGGCCTTCTTCAGGTCTGCAGCCCTCAGCTCCAGCCTCCTCCCTGCTCCCCTGCCCTGACCCCACCCACCAGGACTCCATCCCAGGCTATGGTATCTGCTAATGCTCCCCCCACCCGCCCCCCTACTTTCTACAGCTGTAAACTCCTAATCATTCCCCAACACCCTGTCTCTAATGCCCACTTCCTTCAAATCATGTCCCTTCTAGGTCCCTGCAGGTTCAGCCCTGACCACAGGGGTGTGGGAGAGTCCTTGAAGAACTCCTTGTTGGATGGAGGAGGCAGCATTTCTCAGAACATGGTCCAGAAGGCCCATGATTACTAAACATGCAGCTGGGGTCCACCACAGTTCCCTGGAATATGTGGGGTTAAGGGCAGATAAGGATAGTTGGGACACTGAGTGTGGGGTCACAAACCAGAAGGGCCCATCAGGAAAATCTGCTTTCCCAGGAGCTAGTTGTGAGTTGAGTATACTTCCACCAGGTGGGGTGCAGGTGGGAAAGGCCATCCTGGCAGAGGGCTTGGGATAAGTAAAGGCCCCGAGGATGGAAACCAAGCTGGGGAGTCCTCAGAGCTTCTTCCTGAATCCTCAACTGAGGGAAGCTGAGACCGGGATCCCCTCCACAACTGCGCCTCTCAGCAGCCTCAACTTCCTCCTGCATACCCCCAAGACGGGGAGCTTACTTCCAGCAGGTCCACCTTCGACTATAGTGACCTTGGATTGTGGCTGACGCCTGGGGTCTCACCTTTGCAGGGGAGGCAGTGGACAAGGCCCAAGAAGCCCAGGAGGCTGATCTTGTTCCCTGGGTGGGTGAAGTTGGACCAGGCAGTGTCAATGTTGCCAGAGGCACAACACTCAGCCTGGCTCACATCGGTCTTCAGCACCAAGCTGCAGGTGGCCTCTTTGCCCTGCTGGAGCCAGCAGACACCACCTGTGGACCAGGAGGGCAGTTCCTATGGGACCAGAGGTGCCCTCCTGTACCATTCCTGACACCCAAGCCTGGACCTTCCACCCAGCTCC